TCTTTTTTTCTAAGTTGAACAAAAAAACATACAGTCTGTTAAGTCTCTCTCTAGCAGTATTCTCAGTAACAGTTCAAATTTAGATAATTGGCTTCCACATACAGTGGCAATGGTCTTTCAAATGAACTAGTCATAGATGCATATAGCTTTAAAATAAATAAGTCTTTTAAAATCTGCATAATTAGCCATCTAAAACCGCAAATTTTTTCATTTTTTGTTGTATTATAAGGAATTTTAAAATGTATACTAATTTTTTTCATTTTTCTTTTTACTAGAAAAAAATTCTGAAACGTACACTAACTTTTCAAAAAATATATTCTAAGCAAATGGCATTAAAAAGTTATCATGTGAAGTAAACGAATCAGCACAAGTATACTTCCAGCTAAAAAATATCAAGTTTTAAACTTTGTTGCTTACAGTTCTAATTCTAGTCATTTACTCCAAAGCATTTTTAAGTAAAGCTTTCAGTAAATAGTTTATAAAAGTTATGCTTTTTCTCATAGAAATTTATATTTTCTGAATAAACTCAAAAAAAAACAGTATTCTAAAACTAAAAATGCAATTTGAGGCAAAAAATTTTGGCAGAGTATTACTGAATGCAGCAGCGTATTAGAGACGCTAATATTTTTGAATAACATTTTCAAATCGTTGTTCTTCTGCTTACAGCACACCTACAATCAAGCGATTATTTTTTACTTTAGATTCTTGCTAATATCAATAACTGGACGCTAAGTTGACTGTACAGTCGATACCTGAAATACTAAACAACGACTTTGTAGAGCATTCCTGTTGTTTTTACTGACTGATTTTACCCACTCTTTTTATTATCTTGTTTTAATCAAGTGTCTACAGTACTAAAACATAAGGTTTACTAGCCAGCGTTGTTAGTGGGAAGTTTGTTGATTATTTAACAGCTATAATTTCCTTACTTTCTTAGCGCTCCATCGGCTGCGCGATCAGTTCTTTTTCAACAAAAAGATTAGAAAAAAAATCAATGTGCTGTAAGCCAATCTTGTTTTTCAAATTTCAGAATAACTGTTTTAAATTACGCAGCTATTGAAGTGACAACTTTCCTGAAATTTAGCACCCAGTAATACTTTAACTTTTCGCTATAAACCTTCTACGACATATTTGAACAGTCTGCAGCTACTGTTAAATTATAAATATTTTTTCAACCTTTCATCAACTAAACATTTTTTCAAATATTTTAGAAGAGAAGGCGCGCAATTTTTCGCTTAACCGAATGAAAAGCTTACACCTTTGTCCACTGAGAATAAATGTCAAAAAAGCAAAAAAATTTTTTATCGATTTCGAAATTCAAACTTTGATGGAAGGCTGATTACATTTGTTTTTCGACGAAACATCTGGTTGACTAATAAAAGGGTAATACTCCGCTTCATCAGACCGTGAAAAATGAAAAAATTAGTTTTACTTTGCAAAATTAAAGCAAGATCTACAAATCTATTCTGCTTATTCTAATACACGACTATTTTATCAAACGTTTTAGAAGCACAGTTTTACTCTCGACTAAACTTGGCCGAAATGTTTTGCAGTTTCTATCTCTGTCATATAGCAGTTTCTGAAGTAATCCAGCACTTTGTTCGTACATTTCTGTTGGACAGTACAGAATGTTTTACTTTTAATCAGTCACTCGACTGCTAAGTTGTGATTTTTGTGGATAGGTTTCTGTAACTTTTCAATTAGCTAGAGGGGGCTTATAAATGATCTTAGTGACCAAAAACGTATTTTTACAAAGATTAGTTTGCGAAGTGCTTTTACGCGGAATACGCGGAAAATGAAGGCAAGGCATCGTCAGCTAATTGACCTTGAAGAGAAATCATTTTTGAAAGAGTAATTTTCTCAAAATTCCAATTTCTAAAACGGTCTTTCTTGATTCTACAAAAAGGAGTGAGGCAGGCTCAGGCACAAAGAACAAGATCCGATACTGAAAGAATCAATTGCACTACTGTAAATCATTAGAGAGAATGCAAAAGAACAGCACAAAATAGCACTACAACCTTTTGACCAAAGATAAGTACTGGCAGTATTTGAGTCACGTTTTTCAAAAAATCTTTTTTGAAAGTTGCCACAAAGAACCTGAAAGCTTTAGAACGAATTTACAAGAGAATTTTTTTTGCAACTGTCTAGCATAGTGTCAAGGTCTAGAACCAATAAAAGGCTTCCTTTCCCTTTTATGCGGTAAAAATTAGTTACCAGTTTTCTGCACTTAAACAAAATAATGCGTAAGCTTTTTTCTGATGCTAGATTGGTTATCACCTGATACAGAAAAGTGCATTTATTTTTGCAGTAGAGTTCTAGAAAAATCTTTGTTTTTGAGCCTGCTTTATGTGGGTCTT